ATGTTAAACAGGAGCAGTTCAATAATAGCTTTTCACATTTCTCAAAGTAAATAAAATTATTAAATGAGAATTTATATTAATATTTACCCTAAGGCAGCGCTAATCTTTGAAGTGAACAGTTTTCTGTCTCAAGTGGTGTTAACAATCAGATACCAAATAGTATTAGGAGGTACAAATGAGTACTTTTATTTATCTCGAGACCATTGGTACATAATGTAGATTAGACAAATATAAACATAAAGCTTAGCAATCATTAAAACTGGATTTGAGATGTTGCACTTGCTTCAAAGTCTCCCTGTTCATTTCTCTATTGCTTAGGTACTGGTTTGTTTCAGTGTTTGTATATTGAAATGTTTTCTGGAAGGAAGAGAGGCTGTAAATTTTAAACAAAGCTCTAATTAGTGTGGTAACACAGTGGCAGAGTCCAAAGAGTTGCATTATTAGAGGTGAACCCTAACTGAGATCATGCTATTTATGTAACTTGCCCAACTTAAGACATTTTCTGTCTGTCTGGATCATTAGGTTGTTCTTCTAGTAAAACAACTGGTATCACATGTAAAATTTGAATCCTGAAGGGGACCCATTTCTTGGCTTTTTATTTGTGGCTTAAGTTAAATTCTTCTGTCCTTTTAAATAAAACTGGTTGGTCCTGTTTTCAAAAAAGAGCTGACACCTTTAGAGGTTGTCAACGTATTCTGAAGTCTCTTCCTTTCTGTTGTGTTGATTTTTCCCTTGAACATTTGCTAGTTTGGAGAGGTGCATTCAGATAATTCTCTAGACCAGGTGCCTGCCCAGGTGATGCACCTTCTCTTTACAAGGCTGGGATAGCACTGTCTGCACTGTGGGAAGAACTGGATGATGTTTGTCCCTTTCCTTCAGTTATTTGTGATGAAGAGCTCAGCCCAACTTCATTTCAAACATAATGTTGGCACGTGTGCTTCATGCTGGCTGTTTCTTCTAATGCATTCTGCTCTGGTGTGTGTATTTTGATTTAATCTGGCAAATATTTTTCTGAAATGTGTCATTCACATCTGCCAGCCATGCCTTCCAAATACAGGACTCCTCCAGTTTTGATGGTTAGTGATTTAATTTTAGAAGTTTAACAGTTTTGCCTCCTTGCTTGAAGGTACTTAAAAAATACATTAAATTTGCCCGTTTTCCTCTGAGATTTCAGTTGCAGTAAATGTCACTGTATGATGTGATATAGGCAATTTTAATTTGTGTCTTAAGAAGAACAGTGTTTGACACGTACTTAGGCTGGAGGCTGAGAGATTTGGGACGAACTTAGTCATCTTTTTCCTTTGGAGAGCTCTTATCATCCTTACCCAAACTGGTGATGGCTTTAGATTTGCCCAAGATTTGCAGTTCTGTGGGCTAATGATGCTTACACAGAATGACAGCAGAGGGAGAGCGTGGAAACCTGGAACTGTTCTGTGCTGGAGGGCCTGTAGGAGACCAGATGATCCAAATCAGGGGATGGTCGTAACGTAGGTGATGTGCATCCCTGGCAGCTGGAGCCCTTGGACACTTGCAGAGTGTCTGATGTCACCTACATTTCTAAAACCAGAGGCAGGAATATCCCCACAGGACACTTGCTGTAGGGAGCAGGGGAAGTAGCACGGGTGTGGACTATTTCAAGATGGTATAGAGAAGCAATAAATTAAGTATTACTGTGCATTTCTTAGTAAGCTCAGTCTTGACACTGATCAAATATGCTCTGAAGGCACTTCTGCTATAAGCAAAATAAGCAAAATCCAAGTGGGATGAATTTCTCAGTTTATTTACACAGAAGTACAAGGAACACAAGCAAGAAACTTAATATATATTGACTTTAGTCCTCTTTTGAATTTTTACTTTCTAGTAATTTTCCAAAGAAAAGGTGGATTTTTACTGGCTTATGACATTAGAAAAAAATGCTGATATTCAACCAAAGGCATATTTTTTGTGACATATGTTCTTTTGTGTGGAAATATGAGAGGCTGACTTTTTTTTTTAGTATTTTAGGTTTATCTGATTCAATACATTTACTCTATCTTAGTTTTCTAGTATGGTTTATCTGATTCAACACATTTACTCTGTCTCAGTTGTCTAAGTCTGTACATAAGAAACCACATGTATTTCTAATTAGGTAGTTAACTTAGAACTAAGATTTATTTAACCTCTGGTTTGAGTAGAAATTCTTAATTAATTGGAAAAAAATCCAAACCTCAAAATCACTTCTTTTAGTCAGCTCTGCCCCAGGAATTAAAAGGAGTTAAATTACATGTGTTAAAAAGGTTTAACAAGGCATCTTTTGAACACAGCTCCCCTTGTAAGTAGGGAAAGTATTCATCATCAGAAACTCTCTCTGATGTGTGCAGTCCTTTAGCTGTGCAAAGCTGACAGTTGCTAATACTGGTTTTTAAACATTGATTGAAGGAGAAAACATTTCCTTATCCACTATAAATGATCTGGTTGTTAAAATGAACTACACAAACCAAAATAAAGAGTTTTCTCTGCAGCCCCAGAAGAGGTGATTGCTGTCAAAAGCTGCTTTCAACACGTCAATATACCCCCTTTTCAGGTCTTCAACATTCTTTTTGATTATTCTACTACTTTATACTGGGCCTAGGCCTTAACATCTGTTGGTCTTCTTTCAAAGGTAGTACTAAATAGGGAGTTTAATTGTACATAGTTTTTAAATAACATTTTGTATATTTTAATCCTCTGTTTTTATAAGAATCTTTATAAAAGGCAATGCTTTGGAGTAACTGTGGCTTATTTTGAGGCTTGAATGAGGTGTGTTAGATTTTAGTCGTATGTGTTTATTCAAGAAAAAAACTTCAGAGCAAATTAGAAACTGTGACAGAGTAAACTAACACCAGTGATTGTTCTGGAGACCTTTAAAGGCTTTTTAGCCTGTCTTGCACCGGTGAAAAAAAAGTGAGAATATCCAGCTCCCTTGCAGAATTTGAGTTGTCTGTGGCTTTTCATCAACTATTCAAAGCATTTTCTTTAGTACCAAGTGCACAGCTAAGCTAACCTGGCACCTGGCTGTCTGCAGGAGAGGTGGCCTCACTTGTATTTTCCCTTATGCTGGTTAAAGCAGATTAACTGGCCAAAACAAACCAAAAATCCCTAATCCTACAGAAAAGCTTGTTTAGAAATCAAATGATAGCTAGTGCTGGTGGAGAGAATAGAGGAGGACTGCTCTGGGACAGTGCTTACCTGTGTTGTAGAACTGCCCTCCCTTCAGCAGCTGTGCCTGCTCTCCTTCCCTAAAGCCCTGTGTGAACCTGATTAGTTAGTAAATCACAGTGAGCGTGTTCTGTGGTGTCAGGTATTAAATAGTGTGAGAGACGTGATCTGAAATGGATTAATTCACAATTGTTGCCAAGACATTTGAAGGAAGTAAGAACTACTTAGGTCTGTTCATTGCAGGGAGGGGAATTGAATACGGGGTGACAGTCTGGTTAGAGGTCATATTATCATTTATTTCTTTGAAGAGCATGTGCAGACATCAAGGTTAAGGTCATTACAGTGTGGTCATGTTCTCACCCCTTTTAATTCCTGGGCCTTTAAAATAAAATCCACCAAGGTAAAACAAGAACCTAGGCAAGGAGTAGAAGCTGGGGTTAACTTGAACTAGAACAGGTTGAGGCAACCCTCCATTCTGTCTGTCATTATCAAAGGATTAATTTGCTTTCTGGTGTGGAATGAACAGAAACCTTTATTAAATACTGAAATAAGAATTCTGTGAAGACCTGTGTGGACTCTGAGCTGTGAAATGATGGAAGTGTAGCACCTGCAGGGAGGAGTGACCTGTCGCAGCACATACATCCTTCTTGTAGCAGCACAAGGATTGGAATAAGGGGCTTATCACGGAGAAGGTACATGCACAGGGAAAGCCTGACGTCTGGCACATACACCCAGAGGTTTTTAATGTGTGTGAAGGGGTTGCCTTCATGCTGAAAAGGGAGAGTCGTGAGTCTCAGTGAAAAAAACGTGACTGAAAAAGCTTTGTTTCTTCACTCACCCCTCCCAGCAAATTGCCTGAAAGAGGATCATACACAGTGGTGCATCATTCCTTTTATCTCCCAGTATGACTCACTGAGCCATACATAGCAGCTCGTCTTTTGAAGAGATTTCTTACTCAGAGAAAGCTGGATGTGGAAACAAATACTCAGCGTCAGACTGTTAATGTCACTTTTGCATTAGAATTCCTTCCATGAGAGATAAAAATGGCTTGGCCAGCAATGCCTGTATTAAGCAGGTATTGGGAGGTTAAAAATCCTCATTAGTTTTCTCCTGATTCAATGCTGTTACTTTTATAATATTCATATATTTTTGGGCAACAGGAATGTTTGTTGATTGCATTAGCAAATTCTTGGATATTTTAATATTTGAATTGCTGGTAATGCAAGGTACCAGGTGGCTTTTGGAACATGCTTTAGGCCTTTTTTACTCTGTGTTTTCAAGAGCTTTCTCCCTTTTCTGCCCAACCATGCCCCAAATAAATTCTCTGGCATTTCTTTCTATTCATTTTTAGCTGTTAAGAAACTGATTGTGACATCCAAGTATGGCTTGTAACATTGATTCCCTTTAACATTCTTCTGTCCTCCTTTTATAAACATTTGCTTTCTGGAATACCAACAGCATCCTCCCTCCATATTTTGCATTAATTTAGTACCTGAGAGATATTTTCTTGCCAAGAAAGGTTCTCTTCAGGGTTTCAGTGATTGCTGCTGGACCAGCCCATCCATCCTTATCCCCAGATGAACTCCAGCCTGAGGATCCAGAGCTCTGTTTTCCTGGTGCTGTTGCCAGCAGCACTTTTGTTCCGTGTTGGTTGCTGTAGTAAAGCACTTTGCTGTTTGTTTATGTGGCATGTTTGTTGACTCAGCTTTCAAGATTTTTAAATATGCACTGGAAACTGAGAGTACTTCCTTGTGTTTTGTGACACTGGTAACGTATTAATGAAGCTCTGTTAGTAAAAGAAATATCCCTGTGTTCTATTACAGGTTTTGGGATTTGAAGTTGATACGGTGAACTCTGTCCAGTTTTCAAACCACACAGGTAAAATTTTACAGATACTACTCCACAGTCACTCAGCTCTGCTCAACACGTGGCTCACCTCATCCCATGGCAGTGGAGAGGAGATTGGCCTTTTGTTTTCACTCACATTTTCATGATATAGGACGAAAATGTAATTTTCATGTTTTGAAAGTCTCTCTGAAGTCTGGATTTGGGAGTAGGGCATGATATGAGGTGGTAATGTCCTGATCTGCCCTTCAGAGTGTGAGTTTCTCTTTGTTAGGCAGTAATCTAATTAACTCAGACAGTGAAACAACACAAATAAGGCCATTTACACAGCCAGGCCTGCGAATGGGGGAGTCTTCAGAATGGTTTTCTGTGCATTATGGCCCTATGACAGTCATAATCACATTACCAACCCAAACATCAGAGAATACTGAGGTAGACTCAATGTTTCCTATCTTTGTGTGCCTACCCAGATGGCTAGCAAGTATCCTAAAATTTGGAGGGAGGAAGGGTGTTACTGCATTTGGGTGTATTTTTATTTTATTTTATTTATATGATGCACTCACATAATACTTTCAGACTTATTAATATTCAGAGTGCTAGAGAACTTTTATCTTTTTAAAGAAAGATGAAATTTATGTTTATTTTAGCAATACCTTTCACCCAGAAAGGAGCTCCAAGTGACTTGCTGTTTCTGGATCAAAAGAGACACATTTACTGTCTTGGTGGTGATGGGTTGTTTGAGGGGAGATCTACTCTAGATAAAGACATTCCACAGGTGTCTTAAGAAGCAAATCCAGACTTTAACATCTTGAAAAAGAGCAAAATTTGTTTCTGACACACACACACAAAAAAACCCAAAAAAACCCCAAAAACCCACCAAACAAACCAAAGAAGAAAAAAACCAAAAACAAAAACAAAACAAAATAATAATAATAAAAAAACAACAAACAAAAAACCCCAAAACAAACAAACAAAAAAACCCCAAAACCAAACCAACCAAACAAAAAAACCCCCCACAAATGTTGAGGTACTTTCCTAGTATCTCACAGGAACAGCTGTGTTAATAAACTGCTCATTTTTGGAACAGAGAGCAGACAAGGAGGCCTCTGTCTTCTCTCACTGTGTTGAGCTCCATGCAGCTTTCAAGAGATTATAAGATGCCTATCATGGAAGGAATGTAGTGTCAGCCTGGGAAGAAGAAATTAATGTTTCAAAAGTAGCTTGAAAGCCATCTCTGCTTGTTAAGGAAAGGCACAAAAGAGGTAATAATTAAACAAGGGGGTGGGTGCCTTTTCTGGCTCAGTCAAAAAGCTGCTTATTTTGCTCGTACCCTTTGGCACAGTACAAAGGTTCTGTCATGTTTTCCAGAGGTACTTAGGTGTAACTTCCATTTCTTTAATGTGTTTAGTTTTGGAGTTTGGGATTTTCTGTTGTTTGGTTTTGGTAGCTGGGTAAAACTCCTGTGATCTTCCAGAAATTAAGCAATTTTTTCATGTTAAATAACTTGGCTCTTAAGGTGCATGTTTTGAGCACATGTTGTTTGTTGGCTTTCAGTTTCAAGATTAAATCAGCTTTACAGGGCATTAAAAGAGCTTAGAAGAAGTTTTACTGACCATGAACTGAATGTGTCTGAAGGTAGGAAAATTACATTACCAATAGGATGAGCAGGTTCTTAAAACAGAAAAGAAAGAAACAACTGGAGAAAGGTTACTAGTCTTTCATTCAAGGTTTGGCAGACAGTGGAGATAGTAGAAGGGTAGTAGATAGTAGTGGATAGTAGAAGGGTCTTCCCCCAAAAGAAGACCTAAATGAACATCCCAAACCCAAAAATGTCTCAAAGGTCACAAGTCTGTAAAATATAAACACCAGTAACTACTCCTGGTGTTTAGCAGTGACATTATTTCTTTTTTTTTTTTTCCTGTAATCTTGATTGTCTTAGAAAATGCGTTTAAAAAAAAAATCCCAAAGGTTGCCACACAATCTCATGGCTTTGGGAAGCAGAACTTGAGTCTGGAGCAGTGCTGCAGTACACGAGCATTGTGTACTGGATGAATGGGTGAAGGAAACTTGATTTTTCCTATAAAAACAAAATCTTATGAGAACCCTTTCAGGCATCCTCATTAAAGCTGAAGGACAAATTCCTCCTTCAAAATCTAGCCGTGAACTGTAGTTTCTGAAAGAATGCCACATACCAGAGGAGCACAGGTAGAAAAGTCTGTGAGGTTTTGGACATGATGTCCTTTCTTTCCTTCCTTCCCTGTTTTTAAACTTGGTCCTGGCAGCAAAAGATAAAATGCAGAGAGAATTTATGACTAACAGACTTTCTTGGGTGAATCATTATTGCTCTTTTTTTGCCCTGTCTTTAAATTAGTAAGCTACCACGGGCAACTTTCTGCTGACTCCTGCTCAGAAAATTCAGCTTTCTTTAGTCTCTGATAATCCTGAAATTTGGAAAATGTGCTTTAAATCAGTCCCCCTGGGAGAACAGTTTGTCATGTTGCTTCGTGAGGATCTTTTGTGATTAGAGTGACTCACACTTGAATGGCATCGTGCTTCATGTACAAATAAAAGAAGCTGTCATGCAGCCTACAAAGACTGTGCTTTTTATTCCATTTTACTGTACTGTTTGCAGAAGCATCTCATTGTCTGATGTGTAAAAATTAAAATCTAGTGTTTTTTTTTAATTCTGTTGTTGATATTTTGGGGTGCATTTTTAATTCCTCAGGGATTTTCATTTTTGTTTTTCATTGGTAGGTTACCAGCAAGCATATAATGTGCTTACTTTGCTGTCCAAATCCTACCTTTGAAACTGCTCTGGAACAAAGAGCCCAGGGTTTTTTTTTCTGTTCCTTTTTATTTCTAAGCACTTTTGACTTCCACTTAGTGGGTGTGTAGTGGGTGGTTGGGTTGACTGGTAGGTCTAATACGTGATAAATTATAATTATGTCTTGATGTGATTCCTCATAGTCTGCCACCCATATGCAGTCACTCACACCTCTGTGTGTGCAGGGACAAAAAGAAAAGATCTCCACTCATGCCTAACACTGCTAGTATTTTACTCCCACACTGCCCAGCTGTAAAAAATCCAGTGGGGAATTTGGTACTGTATTTCTGTTTTTGTTGAAGGCCTCCTGGTAGCTAAAGATTAGTAATATGTTTAGACCAGGTTGTCTGCCAGAGTTTACATGTGAATTTTGTGACACTGCTGGAACCAGACTGCCTGTCCATCATGTGCCTTAAACACTAGATCTTTCTTCCTTTTTCCCATGTGAAATACTTGGGTAGTGAAGCCACTTGGAATAGTTTTGCAGGGAGCACCACAGGAGGAACTCAAACCTCAGAACAGAGTGTTCTGGGTTGGAAAACAAAGAAATCTGACACGCCTTGCTGTACCGAAATGGTAGCTTATTTTTTGTTTTGCTATGTTGCTTGGTTGGGGTTTTTTGTCCCTTTTGATATGCTTGGGACTTTTATTTTCTTTCTTCCTTGTTTTTGAAAGTAATTAAGAGGATTATAAATACATTCCAAAGGAGAAAAAAAGTACTAGTGGAGGAAGGCAAGACAAAAAAGTGTGTAAATTCATCTTGAGTGTAGCATTAGCTACCTCTGTGGGTTGTGGTTTTGTTATTTTTTTTTTCTTTTTCATACAGATGAACCAAGATATTTCCCTGGAGACTGATGAATACATATGTCCTTTTAGAGGGATAAGTGACATAAGTCATGATATCTTACCTGGTTTTCATTCCCTTATGTGCTAAAACCAAATAGATAATTGCAATAAAAGGTCATATCACAGATAAGCAGAAGGGGTATAAAGTCATTTGAATGCTTATGACTCTTCTGTGTGTTTAAAATTATTTACAAATTTGGGAGACTAATACAGTTAGACTGAGCCAAGTGGTCTTTTGGAGAGCTGGATCACGATTTGCAATGATCTCTCTGTTCTCTCAGTCCAGCACTGAGGGGAATTATTTGGTGGTTTTGCACATAAAACAAGGAAGACTCAGGGAAGACCCCTTTCAAGAAAGTCCCTCTTCCTGAGACTCCAACTTATCCATTCTGCAGTTAGTGAAACACTTTTTGAACATGAGTAACTGGCTTTTTCTTCTGTCCCTCTACAGAAGCTGATTTTTGGTTGTATATTCCACGAGGAGAGCAGGATAAATGCAGGGTCACGGGGTTTGCACCTTGTTCATCATGTTACATGACATTACCCTGGGGAAAGGGCTCAGGGTGATTTCCATTTTGCTACCAGTTTTGATTTTGTTTGTTTCTTCTTGCTCCAGCATAATTCAGTTCCTAGTGAAATCTCAGTTCTCTGCAGATCCAGTGAAGGCATTCACCTTTTTTTTCTGTCTGAATAGCTGGGGCTTCCCTGAGAGCTTCCCTAGGGTTTTGTTTTTCCTCTGGCTGTTGTGTGATTAGACTTTAGGTGGTATTACACTTTACCACGTTGTAAAAAGGCTCCTTTAGAACCTTTGGAAGTCATTGCTACAGAGTTCAATGTCCCTGCCCCGTGTGGGTGAGTTACCAATTCCTGAGCTAAGCTGGGCTGCTGCCCAATATTGTGTTTCCATATTTATTGCTCCTCCTCAGTGGAGGGATCAGTGTGACATGAACCCTGTGCATTGAGTATTTAAGGCAGCTTGGTACAGACAGCTTGACACAGCCAGGTGAACTCTTAGTTAAATGGTGAATTTGTAGGGATGCCTCCTGAGAGTATCTAGACTGTCTGGGCAGTCTATCATATTTATATTTATGGCCACATGTGAGGCAAAAATCTGCACTTTTGCCAGCAGATCTTGCTTCTGGGTGAAAAGTGCACCCAGTTTCATTCATGGCCACAGTGGAAGGACCTTGTGTCTCTGTACTGGCTTTGCAGTGCTACAGAGATTCAAGGAAGAGGAGAGGACAGATGATTTCTCTCTGGCACTGCAGATGTGACAGAACAAACATCTGCATATGTGTTAATTAACCAGCTACTGGGGTTAGGTGTAGTCAAGGGTTCCTCATACGCTCGGGGTGCCTGAAGAACTAGAGGTGTGCCTGGGTGTTGGCTGTTGCAGTTTTGAATATCACTGTCTTCTGCAATGAAACCACAGCCCTGACATATGGAAATCCCCCACTTTGTCCCTTTCTTCACAGGGACTTTGTGGGAGGCATTTGCCTGGGAGAGAGTGGTGGTGGCTGTTGTGAGTCAGGCCCCCAGCCAGCTGGCAGCGAGTCGTGTTTTAGAGGCTTGGCCTTTGTGAGCTGAGGAGAACAAAATGATCCATCTGCTCACCATACTGTGGGTGTATTTGCATTCATAAGAAGGAAAACTGAAAAATGTGCTTAGACTAAGCTCCAGGCACCTTTTGGCAGTTACTCTAATAACACAGTTTAGAGTGATAATCAAAACCAACAGTTTTTATCACAGAATTTCCTAACTGCAAGAGCAGAAGTTATCACACAAGGGTGGTATGGAAGAAGATACATGATTTTAACATTTCACTTTTCCTAATTCCAGTTGATAAAAAGATAAGCTTTTTAACAACCTCTGATTTTATGGAAGTTGGAAGAGTTAAACTGTGGGTGCTTCATCTAAAATCCTGGAGGAAGTTCCATTCTTACATACAGGGAAGGGATTGGTGCCACCTAGGTGGGCAGCAGGCTTTGACAACAAGGTGCAAGGTGCATTTACATTTTTCAATAAATATTTAGATTCTGTTAAGGGAAATTATTTTTCTTTTCCTTGAAATTGGCTTCCATGAAGCTTGGTCCACTGTTTGCTGAAATTGTTTCAGCTTCTCCCAAGTAACTTCACATTCCATCCGCCTCTCGGCTGAGAATATTGGCTTGTAATTCTTAGAGATCATTCAAGGATAAGAGTGTATGGATATTATTTGTCTGTTTATAGTATCTTTCTGCTACTCATTTCCTCCTCCAGGATTCTCAGTACTAAAGCTGTGCTATTTTGGGAAGAAAATCTGTCTGTCAGATGACATTATATGTCTATTCGTTACATGCGGGTCCCAGCAAGCACCACATCTGATGGGAGGTGCAGCAGTGCTGCATATCTGGGTATGGACAGATCCACAAGCCTGTTAAGCTTGTCATCTAACTGTCAATTTTCTCTTTTTTAATATAGTATAAAATAACAAAGATATGTTGTGCTGACACCCTCCTCCAGTGAAGCCTAAAACATATGTTTGTCACCCTCTGCACAGGAAAGGGGTGGTTGCAAAGGCTCCATGGGAAATCTTGCAGGAGCATGTGTGTTCTCAGCTTGATTTGCTGGTAAATGGACAGTCTCAAATTGCAGCGTAGTCATTCTTTGGGAGACAGAAGTGCTAAGAAGAAGCTGAGCACATCAACTGTTCTGCTGACAGCAGCTTTCATTTGGCAGCAGCATTTTACAGAAGAGGTGGAAATGCTTTTTGATGCTGATAATTGATGTGGTCCCTGCATGTGTATAATGTGTGATCTGAAATAGAAAATCCAGCTCTTGAAAAAAAATTATCTGGCATTTGCTTTGCAGGTTATGCCCACTGGAAGGGTCAGGTGTTGAATTCAGATGAACTTCATGAACTGTATGAAGGACTGAAGCTGAACAAGGTCAACCGCTACGATTATGTACTCACGGGTAAGATGAGCTGCTTCCCCGGAGTTCTCATGAGATGTAAACAGAACTAAAGAAATATAAACCATATCCCTCCTTATTGCAAACCAAGCAATTAAAATTTCCCTCCTTTGGTTCCTCCTGCAGTTTCACCTGTATATTGTAGTCTCAACTGCTCGTGCTGTTTAATTTGGAACAGCCAGAGCTCTCCAGCCTGCAGGTTGTAACTGGGTGGGTAAATTGATCCCCTTGTATCATTTACAGACTTGTACAGGCCAGTCATGTGCAGGCATACTTAATGTTTTGGGAGTGCCTCTACTGGAAAAAAAGGATGAGGAATGTCAGAGTATTATTTTAAAATTTGTTAGGAAGACACGAGTTTAACCCTTTCTCCTAAATCTGCAGCACTGGCACTCTGTGCTACTGCAGCATGATTTTATACACAGTTGTATGTCCTTGATTTTTTTGCTTGATCTTTCAGGCATAGTGCTTGGACACGGGGCAAAGTATAAGCAGGGTTGGATTTTGGGTTTGACTCTTGTCATGTCTTGATTTTTTGCTCTTGTTACTGTGTAGGTCATCTGAGCGAATACAGTCCTGCAGTGTTTTCCTTTTCTAGCACTAAGTACAAAGTGTTTATAAATACAGGCAAAGAGAACTTCTTGTAAAACATTTTCTAGAAATGAGAGATTCTACGTGCAGTTTTTATTAAAGATTGCTTCTCATCCAATTCCTGCTTCTCAAAAGTAGGTTACCGATCAGGTTTCACCTCAGTAAGAGTTGTGCATCTGGTTTAGATTACAGTATCATTTTTTTATAGCACTGAACAGTCACTTTTTAAAGGTAAGCAGAAATATATAACCAGATTTAATTGATTTCATGGCTTCCACATGTAAGGAAGTTCTTTATATACAGGGAAAATTGGAAACTTTTAAGTGTATGGATTATAACTCCACAGCAATCATTCTGGCTGAAAGGTTGTGACATGTCTGAAGAGTTATTGTCAGGGCTTTTTCAAGGAATATCTCCAAAATAAAGGAGACTAAATAGAAAGTAGATTGAACTAAGGTTAAGAAATTAATAAATAGAAAGTAGATTGAACTAAGGTTAAGAAATTAATTTTGGCATAAAGGAGTTCTTTGTGATTGAGAAATAGATGAACACCCTTTTTTTCCTTGAAAGAACTCTCTCAGGGGACATTTCCAGGAAGAACACACTGTATTGCAGGAATTTTCAGGAGATACTAGTATGCAGAAATTCTAAATGGTGTTTGAGTATTCTTTTAGCTGAAATGTTCCTTTTTTATTTTACTTCCAACTCTTGGAAGAGACCTCTACACCCTTTCTATCACAGTCTTGTACTGGCAAAATGGATGTAAGAGATTAAAAGTGGAAGAATGAGAAACAGAAATCTTCAGCAAAAGAAAAGAAATTTCGGAGAAAAAGGGAATCTTTATTAATATGCCCTTTAAAAAAGGATTTGTGTTAGATGGATCAGTGTGTTGCTCAAGTTTCTTTTAAAATCTTATTTGCTGTAGACATTTTCAGCATGGACAAAAAGAAGGCATGGGTAGAAATGTTAGTAATTTCTTAATATCCAATAATACTTCCAGTGTTTTATTCTGCAGCTGCGCTGTGACTGAACTTAAAATTCAGGGCCAAAAGTCAGATTTTTCTCTTCAAACAGGAACAGCCATTCACTATAGTGGACAACTACTTTGTACCTCCAACAACCTGAATATGATTATTTACACACTGAAAACAAATTGATTTGTATGTCTGGTGACTGTAGATATCTTGGCTGAGATGGAAGTTATTGTCTTTAGGCCACTTAGACAAAGTAACACTCCGTTAACTTTTGTGACTGTTGTTATTTGTAGATCTTCATATACTTGTTTCATTTACAGTAAAAGACTCAAGGTAAGAGGTAAACTCCAAGTCAGTGTAATTGTTTTAAACACCTCTGTCAATAATGTTAACCAAGCTCTGTATTTTTTTTTTTCAGCCAGTCTATAACAAAAATCTTTGTTTGGCTCTTTTTCCTGATGATCAGCTTTTCATAGATGTAAGGCAAAGCATTTTGGCCAAAAATCTTGGAAGCTTTTTCCATTTCTCTGCAACATCTAAGAATTGATTAATTTTGCAAGTTTAAAAAAAAAAAATCTCCAAAATGCACTTTTAAATATTTTAGTAGAGTGGACATTTCCAAGCTGAAGGTTTGAAGATGCTACCTGGCTCAAAATAATAGTATTGAATGAACTAAAATAAATTAAAATAAAATTGTTAATTTATAAATGCTGCTAATGAAGTTAATATATAAATATATAAATTAAGAAACATCTATAAAATAAAGAAATTAGTTATTAAATAAGAATATTGTGGTGCTAGCAGTGTGATTAAGTCCTTAAAATATAGTAAAATTTATTTCCATTTTTTTTCACTGCTAAGCCTAAAAAATAGGAATTTTATTGGTACTTTGGCCATTGCTCTAAAATATTCAAAATTAAAACTCCATTGCATTAGTGTGCTAGACTTTATCAGTGCAAACATTAATAATAATAATTAAAAAATTGCTTTAAGACAGAGTATGAGAAAAGTATATGGAAATTAAAATATTTACTACATCATAAATAATACTTATTAGACTGCTGTTTTGATGAAAAGGAAAGTTTTTTTCCTTTTAGCCTGACCTTTGTTTATGTTCAAGCATTTTGAAATTGTATGAGTCCTTCATATATAACATATTTAGTAAATGGATTTTTAAGGTTATATTTGTAGTTGTCTGAATTTGTTTCCCACCGATTTTTCCTGAATGAACTACTAAAATGCCTTTGTTTTAAAAATGCATTTATCCAAAGAATGAGAAGTATGCAGCATTCCTATCCAAAACTAAAAACAGAAGAAGTGTTCATGAAAATAGACTTCAGAAATGTCTTTCTTTTTATTTTTTTCCCCCAAAGGGTATACAAGAGACACATCATTTCTTGCAATGGTGGTGGATATTGTCCAGGAGTTGAAGCAACAGAATTCCAACCTTGTATATGGTAAGGAAGTGCATTATAATCCTTTCTGTTTCATCACTGCGTTTTTATTGATTTTATTCATTTTACTGTTTTAGGATGACAACACTGCTCTGATGTTACGCAGCTTTTCACAACCATCTTCTCCGCTGATCTGGGGGCTCTCTGAGGCTCCAGCGGTGTTTCATTTCAGCTTTAAGTGTTGAGGGACTTGGCTTGTTATCTTTCTGATTTTATGCCTTTCAGTATGTTTCTTGCCTTATGCTGTCCAAGGGGGAATGTGCCTTGAGGACTGACTGTCTGTATCCAAGAAAGGATAAAAATCCCAGCCAGCTGCTGCTGGTGGTAGTTCAGAGGCTGCATGTGCTGATGGCTGAAGCCTCTCCCTGACTTCCCAGTCAGTCAAAAGCAGGACAGACTCTCCCGTGTTGCCCTGCCATGGCTTCATGTAACATCCCATAAATGTCTTACTTTGCCTTGTAAGCTTCATGATTTACCTTAAACTCCAAGTCTTTTTTTAGCTCTGGTGCCTTCTGCTAAAATGTGGGAGCAACAGGCTCTAGCAACTGTCCTCATTAACATGTACATGTCAGGCTTAAACCTGTGGGAAAAAAATTCTCCTCTTTCCTTCCTGAATGTCTTTGGGGACTTTTGAACATAACCAGTGTAGGCTTGAATTGAGCAAAACGTTTAGAGTGACAGGGCAAGGTCAGGGAGGATTTAGTGGGATAAAAAGCTGTGAATTATGGTTTTTAGCTGTCATCTTCAGGTTCAGTAAACTGTGTGGTCAGGAAGCATTTAGAAAGATTGGCAGGATTTGCAGGTGTCTACTGCTGATGACTTAAAATTAACAAAGCACAGTGCTCATTTAGGAAAATGTAGCAGAGAGATCTTCACTGGGTTTTGTTGCTTTTTGGTCTTTATTCACACTGTTGCATTGTCAGATTCTCCAGAGCCTTGTATGAAAACTAAGGACTGTTGGAATATGAGTAGAAAGAAACATCTCACTGTATAGAAAAGGAAGGAAGAGGTCAGATGTAGAGATCACAGCTAGGCTTCTAAGACCCTTTATATTTAATAAATAGATTATAATGTAAGGAAAAGACTTTTAAAATGTAAAACAAATTACCCTCTTTTTATTCATAGAAAAACTTCCTTAAATACTGATTGGATTTGTATTTCTCTTTTATCTTGCTAAAGGCTCTTTTAATACAATGAACAATGTTCCTTTTTGAAGTACGCTGTGGTTATTTCCATGCTCTGAAACTGAGGACACTTGGAATACATTGTTAATGCTGCTGATGATACAGAACCCATCCCAAACACATGTTAATATTACTACACCAAATATGAATTCATGTAGTTTGGCATGGATTTTCTTACTGTTTCATTATAATACACTTTTTATTTAATATACACACAGCATTTTGTTGTGTACGTTTGGCATGTATTTTTTTACACTAAAGTAGAAATGGGACTCTTTTCAGAGCTATTAGCTTCTCTCACATTTCTTCCCAACCGTACTACCATTCCAGAGTTTAGGGTTGGGGAGTGAAGGGGAGGGCTCTTTGTGTTCTCCATAACATAAGGCCCTTTACTCCCAGCACTCAGATCCTCTCATCCTCATCATCTTCAGACAGAACAACATGGAAGCAGGCAGGAGAGGGTGATCCCAACTTGATAACTGTTTAAGACATGGCCTACTCTTTCAGGATTGGCAGCCACCAGTTACAAATTTCAGGCTGAGTGTACTGCAAGAGTTGTGAAATTATATAAGCTATAAGGTGCTCAGTGCTGTTACCTAGAATTTTTCCCTTCAACCAGGGTCTCTATAACTGTACCCCATTTCTAAACCTAAATTTATTCTATTACAGTGTGTGATCCAGTGATGGGTGACAAATGGAATGGAGAAGGCTCTATGGTTAGTATTCATCTGTTTGGATTCTCTGTGCATTGAATGTTTGTTTTATAAAGATGTGTAAAGATTTATTAATTTTTAAACACCCAAACTAAGCTGCTTTACCTAAGTGTGGCTTTGAATCCCAGTAAGTAAGTTTGTGCTTTAATTTCTTATATTTGAATGAGTTTAGTATGTGGGAGGAATGACAGCTGCATAGCCCTGGGATTATTTCAGGCTCTCTGCTGAGACAACAGAGGGAATACAGACCATGTCTGCAGGAAAATATCCCAATATTCTACCTCCCTGTGTCACTGGAGTTCTCTCATCTTCTGTCAGGAGCTCTGTTTTGGCTGGTAGCCTGGCTGGCATTGTCAGCCGTCGTGTGAATTGACAGCACTGGAACCTAAATGAAGATGAGTTATTTTGTGTGGGATCCAACAGCTGTTAGGATTGGGCTGTGATCAGTGATGGAAAAGCTCCATGTGCCAATACTGGGCTGCATACTGACAAACATTCATTTTTGATCAAAACTAGCAAATAATTTCAGTAAAAAGGCGGTGAGGGAGGGTTGCAGTCCCACATCGCAGATCCTGCTGACAGCATTTGACACTGTTTCTTCTTCCCTAGTATGTGCCCAAGGATCTCCTCCCAGTCTACAGGGACAAAGTTGTACCTGTTGCAGATATAATTACTCCTAACCAGTTTGAAGCTGAGTAAGTGCTTATTTCCTTTTCTAGCCTAATAAACTTGGGGACAAAATCAGGGAAGGCCGATACCCCATTATTTTATTTGTCTCACTATAGTGCCTTATGTAGGTATGTTGTGGGGTTTGGTTTTTAGCTGTTACTTTCAAGTGATGCTTTTCAGACAACCTCAGATGTTCCATACTGAAATCAATAAAAAATCTGGAAGTTATGTGAGGAAAAGATTTTTCTTGTTTTCTCCAGTCTCTCATTTTCATGATTACTTCTTGTTATCCCCAGAGGCCTGTATCTAGGACAGGCTGAAAAAATACCTTCCCCATCCTTACCTATTACTGTGGAAACTTTTATTATATGTTAGAATATCAAAACCGAGATAGTTGGGTTCAACCCCCCAAAACTAGATTCAGAAATACCACCATGTCAGCATCTCATAGGAGCTAAGAATTTAAATGCCTGCTGCTTGTCCTGTCTACATAGGACTGTGGCTCTTTGGTCAGGAAATAATCTGTTGTGATACATCACAGGCTGTGACCCTGAGGGGAGGGAGCAGCTGCATGGGAGATGGAGAGAAGACACTTGTGAGGGAATTTTTGTGGTACAGGGATCTCTAGAGGAGGCAGGTTAGGGCTGGTGTGAGTCCTCTGCAGAAGCACTGTGTGTCTGTGCACGTAACCTTTAAAGACAGCGGTCTGGTCCAGCAGACCGTGAAGCTACAGAAGGTTTAGGCCTGTTTGGTGCAGTCCAAGCTTTCCTCCTTTCAAAGGATAAACAAAGCAGTCACTGCCTGTAGTACTTGTGCTCTTTTAAGATTTCTGTTTCATTCTCAGGTTACTCACGGGCAGGAAGATTTACACCGAAAAAGATGCTTTAGAGGTAAGTAGGGAAAGGGTAGGGTGTGTAAGATCTCTTTCTGCATTCCTGCCTGCTGTGCTACAGTTTGCAGTTTGTCTTTAACCTTGAAGTCACTTTAGCCTCCATCCTTTCTTTCTGTATATCAAAAAAGTTCATGCAGTCTAGGCACAAAACATTTCCTATTTTAGTGTCAGACTTCGACAGAAACTTCCAGAAAGAGCTACAGATAAAGCCATTACCTTGGTAATGAGTAGATCTCTGTGAGGTTGCTTTCCTGCAGTGTAAGAAGAGAGGCAGCAGCACATGTGGCAAGTACCCAGACACTTGTCAGTGCTGTGGAAATGCTTTGGTTGGGGTGAAAACCTCGGGTGACCCTGGGCATCAGGAACCTGCTCAGGTCTCTCTGTTTGCTGTCCATGTGTGAGTCGTGCAGCAGCAAGGCTGAGTGTGAGGACAGCTTTTCCTCCTTCTCCCAGACAAATCCACAGCATTGACAGCTGCTGTCATTGCCATACAGAGATGATAGATAGCCTGCAAATATATTGCATCGAGGTGTAAAGATTTACCCTTTCATACAAACTGAAGAAAATAAAAAGCTGCAGGGCTTGGTGGTGAAGGACAAAATAGGAATGTGGTTTTACTGATGTCTTGAGAAGGGCTGAGCTCTTTGTTTTGTTGACTAGTCAAGTGCTTTCACAATGGACTGATGTTATTCCTTCCAGTTTGGTTTTGAACTTCAAAAGAACACAAAATCTCTAAACAAACAGCAGCTGCAGTGGCACCCTGGAGAGTAGCTGGGGGTCTGTCAGCCCAAATGTTTGTTGTTTTTTTGCTGTAGCGACATCAGACAACATGGGTTGCTTACCATTGATTCACTGCAGGAAGCATCTAAAAAGATCTCAGCTGGTTTAGTTCTCACTTCCCCCCCTCCCAGTTTTACAACCCCCAGTTTTACATTACCCCACTGTGCTGGGTGAGGGAGAGGAGCTGTGCTTTATGCCACTAACTCCAACTCAGTTCTTCCGTTCTCATCCTCACCAGTGGACCCACGGCCTTGAGGAGAACACAATTAACTGGGCAGCCATTGGTTTTAGATTTGCATATTTCAGCTGCAAACACAAGTTGCATGTGCTGAACAGTTGTGCAAGTTAGTTTTCTGACTGTTTGGTGTGATAGCATTTATTTGTGACGGGGTTTAAAAAAATCTCTTCCAAAGAGGTGGAATTATATTTAGGAATGGAAGCATTTTTAAAATAGTTGCTTGCAGGATATTATATTTTAATGTATCTGTCTCCCCAGCTGCATATCATATATAGTCTGTCCTTCTGAGTAATAATCCATGCTGGAATTTGTCCCCTTTTGAGGTGGTAGGAATTCTGGCATCAACTTCCATGGTGGCATGCTTTCATTTCTTCAAAAAGACTAGTGATGACAGTATAGTCATCTAACATAAAATTAAATATGATGTAATATTAATGTAGTCCTATGACTAGAAATAGTGGAGATTAGGTTCTTGGTGAATTGTGACTGAGAAATGAAATTTAGTTTAATACTATTTCACAGTTGATTATGTCAGTGTATGCTGGTGGATTTATTGCTTCTTTAAAACCCAACTGATGTCTGTGCAAAGAGGTCTGACAGTTGAAGAAACCTGGAGGCTTAGACAAGAAAGAAAAGCAATAGAGAATTAAAAAATAGCAGAAATAAATCCGTCTGCTCATGAGTCATAGCTAGCCTGAGAGGATTTTTAGTTAAACTCTGCTGGGAGAATTAATATTTTATCTGTGTTTTATGCTAAACTCATTACTGAAGTCATTCTTTTTTCTGTGAAATCAAAATCACTTCTTTCTGTAGTAACCAATTGTGATGTCAGAAGTAGAGTATTTATGAGTTTAAGTGAGGAACACAGAGTGAAAATACACATGCAAAGGTATATAATTTGCAAGTGTAATTTGGAGGCTGAAACAGAATGAGAAAGGAATATTGAGACAGATACACTTGAACCTCTGATTTAACTTTTAAAAATTTTGCTAACTCTTAAAGTAGTAGCTAAATAAGATTTCAGGACCTGGATTTGTTGGCTTTCTAAAAAGTGTTTCAAGATACCAGCTCAGGTGAAACATGTCTGTGTATTTGTTCTCCTGTTCTTTTGATGATACGTTCTGAAAACGTGATGCAGGCAGTGTTCTTTTCAGAGGAGCATCCAAAGATAACACAAACAGAGACACTTGTATATTTTAACAAGTGTGTACATTTAAGTGTGGATGTTTTGATTCCCCTATATCAAAGTAATGCCCCTAATTCAAGTGAATTATTTGAGCAGAAACTGTTTTTTCTCTTTACAAAACATGCCAAAATAAGGTGCTGGTCAAAAATCCTAAGTATGATGCAAAGTTTATCCAACACGTAACTGCAGTCACTGATTCCTGTCTTTTTGTACATGGAAAGGTAATGGATATGCTCCATGCCATGGGACCAGAGACTGTGGTGATCACAAGCTCAGATCTACAGGCATCTCTGGGAAATGACTACTTAATTGCTCTGGGAAGCCACAGAAAAAGTAAGTCATGAACTCCTCCCTTGACTGTGCTTTCTTTTAACTTGTCTCTTGATGAAGTAATTCATCACACCCATCTGTAGTGCATGGAAGGAGTGTAGATCCCTAAGGGAACAGCTTTTCCTAGAGTAATATCAAGGAGTGGTACGACTGGGGCTGCTCCCTGAGGGAACACAAGCTGGGAGCTGTGTGTGATCACAGCACAGGCAGAACACCCACAAGACTCAGACCCACTGTATCTGAATAAGGTGAGCAGGACAGGTCCCATTGAGAGGCCAGTGGTCATCAGAGGAAGGTGAGACAAGCCAGGTCTGAGATTAATCTGGAAAATCCAAACATTAAGTCAGGACAGCAGGGATGAACACAGGAATACCTACAACAGAGCTCAGGCAAGGGTGCTTGTGCCCAGGCCTGAGCTTCTCTGCAGCTCCTGGGCAGAGGATGGAGGGTGCAGGGATGTCCTGGGTGAGTTTTATCAGGGCTCTTACAGCCCCTAGTAGTGGCCCTGAGAGTAGTGGTGATATAAAACAGGAACTTGGAATGTTTTGAATACTTTTCTGAAAAGTTACAGTGTACTGTTAGCAGACTGTTCCTCCCCTGATAGGTTATAAAATATGCTTCTGTTCCTTCTTTATATCCCCCTTTATTCCATCACCAAGATTCACTATGTTTCAGACTGTCACACAGTGTTTCCACCTGAGAAGGGCACAGTTTTGAGGAATGAAAAATGAAGGTGCTATCTACCTCCTCCCTCTTAAATGAAGTATGTAGAGTATGTAAGTTGTAAATGCTACCCCAAGTTGGCCAAGTTTTTGAAGGCTGTGCCTTTTAAAACCCCTCTCTTTTAAAGTACAAAGTTTACAATACTCCTTAGCAGCTTTACATTCCAAACAACAGAAGAATTCAAATCTGATGATCACTTTTAAAATTATTTCTTTTTAAATTCTAGTAAATGCTATTGTGTTAGTTGCTGGGTCTGTTACTTAACTGTCTATTTGTGTTATAGCTAAAGCAGATGGTACCAGGATAACACAAAGAATTCGAATGGAGTCTCCTAAAGTGGATGCTGTCTTTGTTGGAACAGGAGACCTGTTTGCTGCTATGCTTCTGGCATGGACACACAAGCATCCAAACAATTTGAAGGTGTGGGAGAAGTTACTCATCTCTCTGCAAGTTTAGACCATGTTTCTTCTGGTTTTTTTATGACTTTTAATCTATGACATTATTTAAAGACTGTCTTCTCTTTTGGCTTTTTTTCCTCACCTCAGAGGAAAAAAACCCAGAATTTCCCTTTTGCCAAAAGGAGCATTGAGAAGTTGCATTTGCATTTCAGTTGGATTGATTTTGTAATTTTTCCAAATAAGATGTTGTTCTCTATAGAGAGAGAGACTGCATGCATGTTTGTAATTACATTTTTTTATCCTCATGTCATAATAAGCACTGAAAACAATTTCTCATATCTATTTTTCTGTTCCTTTCCCTTAAGGATATAGAGTCCTCGGTATGAGTATATGGTTTCTAATACCTGTTTTGGGAGAATTAGCTCAGTTGGTTAGAGAATTAAGTCAAAAACTTTTTCCCCCAAACTCTACATTACATAGTTGTCATCCTGCTTGTGTCATCAGTCATGTTTGCCTTTTAATAGCCGTGTTTTTGAAATAATAGTAATATTAAACTAGGCAGCTGAAGTTTTACTAAAACCTGAATATGTTGTGTTGATGCAGGTGGCATGTGAAAAGACTGTGTCAGCCATGCAGCATGTTCTGCAGAGGACCATTAAGAGTGCAAAAGGTAATTCATTCAGACTTTGTTCCCGTGTTCTGTCTGCATTTGCATCAGAAGAAACATTCAAAGAGCTTTGTGGGTTTCCTGACTAAAGGCAGCCCTCAGTGCAGAGGCAGCCAGAGAATTTACAGGATGAGAGCTTGTTAGTCTTGTCTGCATGTTCCTGACTGTGTCCTCCAAGCCTATCTTTGACAACAGCCGACTGAAGATGTCACTGTTTAGCTTGTAGTGGGACCGCAGTCGTGCTGACTGTGCTTGACTCAGCTCTGCAAAACAGAGGCAGAAGAACGTGAGGAAATGCCGAGTTTGATGTGCAAGAGGGCTTCTGTTTTAAGTGTAGCTCACTCACTTTCCCCTTGAGTGTGTGTTTAGTATTGAGAGGGGTTTATCAGCAAATAATAATTTCTTTGCTGGGTTGGCCATGTGAGGAGTGATTTTTTTCAGCTTCTGTCCCCGTGGACTTCCCATGTCTTTCAATTCTAAGGAGATCCAGATGGGATCTCTGGGTTCTCAAAGCATGTCTGTGTCACTTTCTAATTAACAGCAGAGCCATATTTTTTGCCTGGAGAGAGGTGCTGAACAAGGATTATAGAAAATCACAGTGCTGACCTGGATCTTGTACTTTGGAAGCCTTTAGCAGGGGGTTGTAAGGGAAATTGGGGAAGGGAAGGGAGGAAGGTAGAGAAAATCGTGGGATAAGAGAAAAATGGAACTTGTTTCTTTTTATATTTCTGTTTTTAATGACATTCTGATGTCATCTTTTTAGCACAAGCTGGAGAAGGAAACAAACCAAACTCAGCCCAGCTGGAACTGAGAATGGTCCAAAGCAAAAAGGACATAGAAAACCCAGAGATCATAGTGAAAGCCACCGTGTTATAAAGGCTGTACGTCTCCAATAACGCACAATGTATTGATGTCCTCATTTCTTTCCTGTAAATTGTAATATTTGCCTTAGATCTGTGACAGAAACCTGACTTTCATGAAATAGTGCCCAGCATAGGCAGATATCCACTCTCAAACATATGTGCTGGCCTTGCTCAGTTTAAAAAACAAAACAGTTAGTGTGCATTTGAGCATATTCCAGGTATCAAAATGGCTGTCGGATTCACTTAGTCTGCGTAATGACCCAGGGCAAGAGAGAACAATGTTCCTGCCTTGCCGAAGACTTTAGATGTGAATTTGCTAATGGAATGCTTGACTGACTGGAAAATGTATTTCAGGATGGCCTCTAGTGCCAACGGAGCTGGCTCCATGCTCCCTTTTCCTGGAGATACCTGGTTACCTACTCAGGTATTCGGTATCTCAGCTGCTATGAGACTAAGCAGGGTTAAAGCTACACACAGAGTTCTGGTTGTGTGTAGGAGTACTTTGAAGATGTTTGGCATGTTCAGTACTCTGAAGTGACCTTGAGGTGTCATTCATGTTGCTGATTTCTGCTCCTGCTTCTGGCCTGTGAACAGCTGCACAGTTTGGGACTGGCTGCTTATTTCTTAGGTCTGTGGGTGCCCACATGATTTTCTTCCAAAAGCTGCTCCAGAAACACTTTCATTAATAAGATAATACTTTTTTATTCAGTAGCACTGGTTAGGAGTTTGTAGTTCTACCTCCAAGGTCATGTTTGATTCTCTGTTTTTTAACTAAGGACAAACATTCTGTTAAGGACAAAAGAGAAAGCAGCTCTTACTCTGAAAGGTGGCTGCCCTGGTTTGTACTTAAAAACTACACAGAGCACTTCCACAGTAGTAAGCACTGTAGACAGGCTTATCAATGAAGCAATGTGGGAAAAGTATTATTTTTGTTTTAGTGAGTTACATGTGTTTACCAAATGCAGCAAAACATAGAAAATTACCTTGTTCATGATGTAAGTCTCTGCAGCCAATTAGAGATGACAGAAATGCATTATTAGTAATGCATCTTAATTTCAAAATTCTTCTTCATATAGGTTCAAAGTGGAATTTTTTAATAATTTCAGTGTCCAATACATCACAGCCACATCCCGAACCACTGGGACAGACAAGCAGACAAGATCTGTATGGGACCCATGTTCTTGATGTCCCAAGATGAGGAAGGTCTGGTCTGCTGTTCACGTTCAGTTGATGAGCTTTGTTTGTCGCAGACTGCATAAAGGGATTAAAATTGCATTTCTGATTGCAGGAACATGAAGAAAACTTGCATTAGAGGAAAATTTTTCTTGATTACCTGAGTAGGCTGAGGAAACTCACTCTTGGGTATCTCCCAGATACCTTTCCCTTATCTTCCTCCTCACACCTGCCTAACTGATAGTCTTCATTTATCCCATCATTGTCATGAATTTCTGCCATTGTAAAAGTTGTTTTCACCTAGTAGAAGACTATTTTATTCTTGATGTAAATTTTTTAGCTAAATAGGTTTTCTTTAATAGAATAGTTATCATAATTAATAAGTTTCTGAAATCCCTAATTTTTAATATCTTTGAAGCAAATGAAATTTAAGAGGAATGTGTTTTGCAGTAAATATAAGAGCCAAACTTCAGGCTTTCACTCTCAACAACAAATATTAATTTTATTTCCTCTCGTGCATTTGACATAAAAATGGGGAAAAAATCATATGACTCGAGAATTTTAAGGAAAAAAAAACCATCAGAAATTATCTACAAAATGTGACTCTACTGCCACCGTTTTTAGTAATCACTGTAATGAAATAACTTTCTAGCAATAATAATTTTGGTGATGTGAACAGTTGCTGAAATTAGCAGTCATTAACAGAGATGTGAGCTCCTGGCTGATGTGCAACATGTAAAAATATATGAACTTCCTTAACAGTGTGTATAAATATTGATGGGAAGCAGTGAAGAAGGAGCCAGGCTCTTCTCAGTGGTGCCCAACAAAGGGATAACAGGCAATGGGCACAAACTGAAATTCAGGAAAATCCATTTAAAACGTTAAAAAACCCATAATTGACTGTGAGGGTGATCAAACACTGGCACAGGTTGCCCAGAGAAGTGGTGGAGTCTCCATCCTTGGAGATACTCAAATGCTGACTGAACATGGCCCTGAGCAACCTGCTGCACTTGGACCAGATGGTCTCCAGAGGTCCCTTCCAACCTCAGCCATCCTGTGATTCTGTGAAGCACAACAAACTGCCTTTCTTTGCAGTGCTGTGTTTTTAAATTGATGCAAATATTTTTTTTCTCCCTGCCACACACAGAATTCCAGATGGGCCAGAAAATAGCTCGTATTAATATTTTGCCCCCTTCTCAGATAAGCTGCTGCTTGCTTGGGCAGTTGTGCCAGGAAGACAGATAACTTTTTTGAGATAATTGCTTTCAGCAAAGATATTTAAATACTGTAGCTAGTGGTGCATTTCAACAGTTGAACACTAAAAGGATTTTAACTGTTTCTAACATTCATTAACCAAGTGTTGTGTGCCATATTCCAGACATAACTATGAGCTTATTTATCTTTTAAAATCATACTATTTCATGTGGAAGTGTATAATCCCTACTATCCTCTTGGGAAGAAGGGATCAACATAATGAACTTCCCCTACCTGTACATGCCATGGTCGATGCCCTTTTAGTAAGTGTGGGACAGCAGGATTTTTTTTTTTTGCCACTAGAATAAATAGACCTTCACAAGAGGATTGAGAGAAAAACAAGGGCTGTTTTCCTGAAATAAAGAAGCCTGGAATTTAGAAAACTTAAAGCTACCTTGCAAACAGTGTTTTAATTGTAAACCATAGTGAACAGTGATCTTGCCATGAAAGAGAAGATGATATGTTTGTTGGAGCAGGTTATGTCTGTCAGGTGTGATCTTTTCCCACTGCTTCAAAGAATGGATCAGTTCAGTAATTCACACCTTCCTTAGAATCTGTGACATATCCATGTTAACAACAACAACAAAAGAATATTAATACTAATATGCTCAATTTTCAAAATTTCTATTTCACAGTAGCTGGATCCTGTAGCAGTAGGCTGCTGGCTTCATCTGCTTAAGAGTCCCTGGGGGTTGCTCATGTGATATCTGTTTTAAACTCCTGCTGACCTGGTCTAAATTAGGTCAGGTTTATGTCTTCGCTGAAGAATTGGGCTTAGCATCTCTTGCCAGGAACAAACATCAGAAATTATCTGTAAATATAATCTGTAGGTAACATTTTGTAGCCACAGCAGGCTAACAGTTATTTTTAAATGCCAAGGTATACATACTTAATACTTGGATGCATTTTTATTTGTTCAGAGTGGCACAGAGCCTGTGTGCAGAACAGAATTTCAGACTCAGCTCAGTCCTGTGTTTTATTCCCTCCTCCTGCATATAATACCTGTATTTTTTTCTGAGTTCCTGCTGTCTGTCTGGTGCAGCTGGAAAGTGTCTCAGTATCAGACAGCTGCCCACTATTTATTTGAGGGCTCGGAGGAGACTCTTCAAGGTTGTCTGGTCCACTTGCAAACCTTTAGTTAAAGATAAATGGTTAATCTAAACTAGCCTAGCTCTTAATTGATTACAGAACAAGCACTTTAGCCCAGAGAGTGAAGTCTATAACCAATGGATAATCTTCCATGACCGTCCTAAGAGCATGAAAGGTGTCTGTAACCCAGAGTGCAGCACTCAGCAGTTCGGGACTGGTGACTTCACGTGTCGGTGTGAGGTCAGTGGCACAGGACATCCCTCATGCTGCAGTACCTGTGGGCATGGGAGAGGTGAATGCTTTGTGTTTGTGTCCAGTCAGCTCCTTTTGTTCTGCTTACTGGAACTAATTGTGTGATGGGTCCCCCTTTTTCTCTGGAATGGTTCACAGTGCATGTGCTCAGCCGTTTTGATTACTCCAAGTGCACTCACTCCTTTGCAGAGCCATCGTGCAGGAGAGACCAAAAGTTGTTTACAAAACCATCTCTACTCTATTTTGGGCTCGGATTAGTCTCTACAGGAAAATTCCCATGTCTTTGGGAAACGTGCATAAAGACATTGTGCTAAAATTGGTGTTGTTCCCACTCAATACAAACATCTAAGAAATCTGCAGTATGAATTGCTGATGTTTGTTTGCTGATTTTTATAATAAGAGGGGAGAATTCTATAATTAATGTGTTAAGCAAAAGAATCAGAGGACCAAGGTTTCCAGCTACTCATACTGCCTTTTGAGTATCTTAACTGTGTCTTGATTGGATGGTGTTAATTTTTTGTCTGAGACTGTTATGGTGATTGTATTGATTGATTTTATTTTAAAATATGTGGCAAGGAAGATTGTAATAAAAGCATCTACGTTTAATATACTGTGCACACACAAATTGTTAGATCCTGTTTTTAAATATGTTAATCATTTCAGAATCAAACAGCACAAGAATGGTTTTATAGTCTTTCTGAATAAAGTGGATGTAATTAAATATTTCCTTAGTTATGTCCTAGTATAGAGGAAGGGTAGTTAATGGAAGAGCACACATTTGTGCCCTGTAATCATCTTACTGTAAGATATGGATATGGAAGTAACATCCTTGTTGTCTTATTTTTTATTTTTTTTTAAAGTTTCATGGGAAGACAACTACTGGCATTCTGCACGACTCTCTTGCATTCTTCTTACTTGTATATGTAGGAACTTACTGTGTTGTGCTCTTTATTCCTGCAAACAAGGTGAAAAGAGGGGCTTGGAGTAAGAACCATAACTCATTTTGAGGTCTGTTTCTTGTACAGAATGTAGCTGCACTCCCCTTCACTGAATTTTTACCTCACTATGTGGATTGGAGCATACAGGACTATAGAGTGGGAAACAGTTGTTCCTCATGTGGGAAAAAGTGCTTCTGTCAGCACCCAGCAGTGTCCCTGCAAGAGGGAGAGAGCAGGGATCCAGGTTAGTGAGAGCACTGGTCATTGGAGAAGGTGCTGTGTCATTACATTTTAGCTCCACTGGAGAATTTTGGTTTATACTTACACTAAA